CTAACTTCAGACATAGAAACACTGTTTCTATAAGGATGTTTGTAGGCTGGAGAGCATTAAGTCGAAACACCACAGAGTAAAGTAAGTCTTCACAGAACTGCTCCCTATTTCCTGTAGACTCGTCATTAATCGGGACACATACTCAAACACAGTACATTATCTTTGTTAAGTTTAACATGCCGCATCAAAAGCAAAGCCATATCTTTATTCTCCTAATTTGTATAGTCACTCACACAATTTTAAATTCACACTCAACCCTTCCATCTTGGCTGACTGATGAAGAGCAGAGTAAATCTCTACCTGAGAACAACTTCTCTGCCAACTCCACTCTCAGGTGTCAATCATATGCAACCCCCTCAGCTGCAGGTACTTCACACTTTAACTGCCCATACAGGTTTGGCAACGCTGCCCTGCCAAAATGCATAAAACATGTTGGACTCTCAGATTTATTTAAATGTGTGTGAATAATAAATGTCCTGCCACCTGGAAGTCATGTTTATAATGGCACTGACCACAGACCCGTGTGAGGTAAATTATACTCTACTATAACTCATAAGGACCCTTTTATAAATCACAAGCCTTCACTGCTTCTCAGCGTAGAAAAAGTCCCACAGCGCATAAACTAGGACAATACATATGATGCATTGCTTGTGTTTTTTTTCCCCCTTTTGTTCCAGGGAAGAGCATTAAAGGAGGAGGTTAGCTTCAGTGCGAGGCTGCCTATCACTGCCTCCATCTAAAACAAGATGGGCAGGCGTGGATATTCCCGAAGCCTCATGAGACATTTCCCCAAGTGGGCTGACCATGCTGCAGCTGGAGAACAGCACACATATTCTGTTTTCTACAAGCAATAACCAGCTCCTCAGCCTCTATGCAAAAAAAGAAGGGAGAGCAGCAGACTCGTTATTTAACTGCCTCTTGACAGCTGGGGCATAGCAGAGGGACAGGAAGTGTGTCAGTGCACGGGTGTGTGTGACTGACACAGAAAGGAAAAGAAAGTGAGTGTGCGCCTGTGTGTGTGTGTGTGTGTGCGTACACATGTATCCGTGCAGGGGCTTATGTGTGTGTCCATCCCCATTTGCATTTGTGTGTGCTCGGCCATGTGCATATGTATGTGTGGCACAGTGGACCAGAACAGAGCTCTGACAGTAGCAGGACTGCTGCTCGCTGATGCCTGCCTGGAGGAGCTGACAGCGGCCCGGCCTGTCAATCACAGAGCATGCCCACCAGCCCTCTATTCACATCATCCCATCTTGTTAGCTCTAAATCTAGCTGGGTACTGTTTATACTATGTATCTTTCTCTCTCTGTGTGTGTGTCAGTGTGTGTGTCAGTGAGAGTGTAGAGCTTCACCGTTTTCTTTGATGTGTTACAGTCTTAGCTGCATGAGTCTGTTTCGAGCAGAGATCAATCAAGACAAAGTGATGAAAAAACTGAACAGGGATTGCAGGATTGAGAGTTGATCCTGTATAAAAACAAGTCCTTGCAGTTGATTTAATGCCAGTGGAACTGAATAGTTTGATAGGAAAGTAAAACATTTTTAAAAACTCAAGGTAAAACAATAAAAGCAGCATGCAAGTTGAAGAACCGACAAGTGGAAGATGTTGTCAAATTTTGCATATATTTGTCTGTCAAGTTGTTCACACTGCGTTAAGATTTGTTGCTGACAGAAAAGTGGATGCTGCGGTGGTGAAGTCAACAATTATTATCCCTTTTTTGTCACTCAGAATGCACACTGGTTAATGAGAGCTGGACTCATGATTGGTTGCCCTCGGGTCCGTAGAGACGTTTGGCTCTTAGGATCCGACACTGGAGCCAATAAAGCACCACAGAGACAGAGGGACTGTCATTCATCCATGCAAATACCAACCAAAAAACACAAAGATCCATGGGGCTCTTAATTATAAGCCATGCATGATGAGTAGTGTATGAAAGTCTCAAATCATTCCAAAAAGCTTGTAGAGTTTCAGGTTGATGAAGGCCAAGATCTTTCTGCTTCGTCAAGCATCCACATGACAAAAACTGTTTATTCAAAGATGACACAATTATTCTTAAACCCTCTTTAACTCATAGCAAACTGATTTAACCTTTGCAGGCACAGCTTTGACTTTGACTCTTTGTAACACAGGAGCAGAACCTCGATCACCTTCCATATCATGTTCTTTGTTTTCTTTCTTAAGATGATATTGTGTTTTTTATGTTGGCTGTGTCTGAAATGGATCCCTTACCTCTATATAGGCGACTATATGGGGGTTAGCGCCATTTTGAGGGGTGTCCGAAACCTCAGTGATTAATTCCAGTGCCCTATATAGGCGACTCAAAATTTCCCATAAAGCATTGCAAAATGTAGTGACCAGCCGATGGTCACTCACCGGTGGTGGGCATCCCATCATGCATTGTGTCTTGCCATATAGTGTCTGAAACTTCCGGTGATTGAGTTCACGACATAGTCAACTATATAGTAAAACCACATATGGGGGTTAGGGGTTAGGGATTGAGTGATTCATTTTGGACACAGCCAGAGTTAACTTTTTCCCTGATCCAGCTGGAATGTACAAACACATCAACATGTACAATCAAGAAAAAACCTTAAGACCTGCAATGGCAGAGAAGTTTGCAAGCAGGGATTCAACTCCATAAATTCAGGATGAATTTTTGAACTAAAATGTTCTCAGCTTTGCCACAAACCCCACATTCCTGAAAGACAGCTGGAGATCATCTATGTTTCATGCTTTATCTTTGTCTGATGTGGATGAGAAGTTCGTGCTGGACAGTCTAAGTGGAGGTTAGAGGCAGAGGGAGAGAAAGAGAAGAGAAGAGGCTTTTAGCGAGTGGAAAACCTTGACAGGACTGCTTTCTAACACAATCATTCTTTGACTAGTGTATGCGAAAATTTTGTAGTGCACCACTAGACTCAACTTAAGTACTTAATTACATTAGGAATATTATCATATTAGCATTATTCAATTATTAATACAATGAATCTGCATTTTAGGCTTTCTGTTAAAACTAAAGTGGCATCTCAAAAACGTGCAAAGTTGTTTTAATGAAACAAAATAGTTAATTGGTAAAAAAATAAATGGCTAATTTGGCAAGTAGGTTACTTATCATTATTTTGTTAATAGCTGGAATTGTGTTAGATCGTGATCGAGCTGTTAGCGCTTCTCAGATGTGAGAATTTGTGAGAAATTGATGTTTTTTTCTGTAATACATTTAATTAAAAAGTGTTTTGTTTTACACATTTATAATAAAAACATTCCATAACTTTTACAAAACAAAAATCTGTTAATTTAAAAAAAAGTCAGAATGAAGTTTCACTTGCAATGCATATTATTTCTTTCACTTTAAATCAATCTATGCAAGCAAATCCTAAGTTTCACTTTCTTTCTTCTATTGCAAATAATTTAAATAAATACATTATAAAATATGATTCTCCACAAGGTCTCTTTGGCTACCAGGGTTAGAGGCAAGAATGAAGTTATCCTCCATTGTTATTTTTTTTACAACACATTCAGAGTTGCAGCTCAACCAACACGAAGAAATATCGAAATTTTATTTGAATCTTAATTGGACAGGCCAACTTGAGAGTACTGACAGCTAAGTTAACCTTCTTAGATAAGTGGATTATTGAGGAAGTAAAGACTTTGCAACACTTTTATCCTGACTAGAAAATAAACTGAAGTGGTTTCATTTATTTTTTTAATAATACCTTGGGAATTTTGCCTTCAACAAACACAGACACACTCTGAGTTTGCCATGCTGGACTTAATAAAACACTCTGATCATTAATCTTTTCTCAAAACAAATCAATTTTGAAAAGGGTTTTTGTAAAAACAAAAAGGAGATCTTGCCAAAGTACTAAAAACAGAATGCTTAATTTTTTACAAAGAATATGTGTTTTATGAAATCACATCATTCTTCCTAATGCATTTATCATGCAACATGTAATTTCAGTTTCAGGGGACAAATATGGAGCCTGAAAATTGGTCCGAATCTCACCTTGCACACACACACACACACACACACACACACACACACACACACACACACACACACACACACACACACACACACACACACACACACACACACACACACACACACACAAAGATCCTTAGGGGACTCTTTTACCGGCTTTGTTGATGAATCTCATGAGACTCAGTTTCTGGTCCCTGCTTCAGATGATGACCCTGATCTCTTTAGATTTAAACTGAAGGTGCTCATGGTCTTTTAAAGATATATTTAAAATACTCCAATTAAATCTAAAGTGATTCAGATCTCTTAAAAGATGTGGTTGTGTGATGGTTCACAATGCAGAAGGTAACACCAGTTCCAACATGCTTCTCAGTCTGTAAAGAAAGCTGCAAACATGGCTGTGGAGGTTGAAATGACCACCATTAAAAACTATCACAGGCTCTATTCTATTTAGGGTTGGATTGTAATCAGGTATGAATCGCAAACAAGATCCTCACTGTCAATGTCTGTTATTCCCATCAACACTAAACACACTCTGATACATATCTCATGGCATTTTGGCAAGGGCAGGACAATTACACGTCTGATGCTGACCGGATGTTGATGTTTTGTTGCCCGGAACTGATGTGGCTTTCAATATTCCTCCGTCCAATTTAAGACGTCCAGTTCATACGATAAAAAACACAAAAGAAATGTATTGTTGCATGTCCACTTCTGGTGAGAGTCTTTAAAAATAGGCACCCTAAACGCATCGTTATGGAAATCAACAAAAATATTTTAATGGAAGCATATAGTATAGATGCGTGTTTAAAAAACAGAGCTCTCATTTTAAATCGATAGTGATAGTGATCGATATCCTTCCCCCAAAAGACTTTTCCCCCCCAAACTCAACTTTTATAGAAAACAAAACAAATAAACAAATGAGTCAATACAAAAGATATGGTATCTGCAGTGTTATGTGGACAGTACACAGAATAATACAAAATAAATTTCATGAAAACGATATTTTCCGACTGTCCATGAAGGCGTCACAAGGTAAAACAGCAGGAATGTGGTTGGTGGTTGACATGACGCTTTCCTATAAGAAACAAGAGGATTGCTACCCATGAATGGATACATCGACCTACGTTTGACGTAAAGTGAAATCTTACCCTGTCCTTTTTGTTTGTTTGATTCTAGAAAGCTCGCTACGGAAGCTAACGTGTCTGTTTTGACAGCTCGGTTTGTCGGCAGGCTAACTAGCTAACGAAGGCTAACCAACAGCAGCTATTTAACCCCTGACGGCGACAACAACAACAACAACAATAACACAAAAGCTGACAGAAGCAGCTAGCCTTAAGGGCTCATTTTAGTTTTCCCTGTTTTATACATACTGTCATGCTAGTGTTTGTCGGACAAATGTCTCTATGAAGCAACAGTGTCTTAGTAGCTAGCTTAACTTCTGTCATGTTAATGTTGACGCAAAATTGAAAGTGGGCTTTCTAAAGAGTCAGTAGATGCCAATACAGACCTGTTTGTCCTGAAATGCGTATCAGTAAGGTCAGTTTTACTCGTACTTCTGAAAAGAGCTGGTTTCTATCCGAGCTTTCATTGTAAACTTGATGTAAAGTTGTTGTGTCCACTTTAAATATTGAGCCCTTATGCAGGATATGGTACTTAAAGATCTCGGTTAGCTTTACTTACAGCAGCTTAAAGCGGTGCAGCTTTGTCTTCTGGACTGGGGATAGATGGTACATTTAAACGGACTGAAACGATGATACTAAAAACCCTGTATAGGAAGAATGGAAGAGCCCATTCTTCAGATGGACGTGCTGTCATGTTCTGGATGGCATGATTTGCATGTTGTTATGGTAAAGTGGTCACTAAAGGTAATTTTCCGTCATTTGCATCAGTGGTGTTAAGCTAAAGTGGGGGATAAGTATTATATGTGATAGGTGTCTGGCAATACGCAGCATCACAATACATTACACTACTGCTTCAGAAAAAAACCTGTGTCTTCATACTCCAGTCATTTAACTTTGAAAGCTACTCCTCCCATAGATGAGTAGATATCATCCCTTAAGGTTATTCAGTAAATGCTCAAAAAAGGAAAAGATGGACTATTTTAGACTCTTTCAGAAAGCTTTAACATCTGCATAGCCAGACTTAACTTTTATAGTGTTTTGTGTTTCAATTTTATAACGGTATTAAGCAGGAGTTTGACTGTGTGGTGTCTCTTATCTGCTGTCTAACTGTTCTCATTCATGTTTGTTTCTGCCTAACCTACAGGTAATGCATGCAACTGGGCCTGAAGCCTGCGCTTTGCACACACCCAGCCCTTGAGCCAGTGTGTTTCCAATAGGGGGAGGCTCTTCCTCCCAGTAGCCCCAGTTTCTCCCCATTGCCCAAATCTGCCCTAGAATTCCCTATGCTAACCCTCTTGAGCATGTTTTACTATATCTGTCTGCGGCGACGCTCCAGAAGTGGGACTCGAGGTGAAGCTTTGACCAGTCGGCGGGCTGTGGAGTCTGGCCAGCGTGCGGCATTGCCCGTCAGTGTGGAGGTGGAGCAATATGCCAAGGAGGTTCTTGACTTCAGCTCCCACTATGGTAGTGAGAATAGCATGTCCTACACCATGTGGAACCTGGCTGGGGTACCTAATGTCTACCCCAGCTCAGGGGACTTCACTCAGACGGCTGTTTTCAGAGCTTATGGGAAATGGTGGGAACAATGTGCCAGTGCCCCACCACCTTTCCGCCGCACTCCTAAAGGCTTTTACAGCCAGGATTACATTGAGCTGGGCTTTGAGGAGCCTGTCTATCCCACAGCAGTGGAGGTGCTTGAGACTTATTATCCCGGAGCCATCGTTCAGATTCTGGCCTGCTCTCACAACCCCTTTTCCCAGAACCCAGCAACTGACATCAGGTAAAGACAACCTTTCATCTTTGAATAATGTTTTTTATTTTTTTATTTTTGAGAAAAACTTGTGATATTGCAGACTTGAGTTATTATGCTGTTACAAATTGATTCCTGATGTTTTTATTCTTTGCTCAGTCTGCGTTTAAATTCTACATTTCCTCTTGAAAGACGTATCAGTAAAATAGTGCTCCATGAGTACTTTGAATGACTGCTCAAGGAATTGTCCCATGGCTTAAGTTTTTCAGAGCGCTCTCAAATTTCCAACAATAAAACCAGAAGGTACAAAAGCGAGTCTGTTTGTAAGTGTTATTAGTCTTATTAGGTAAGGTGGTTTTGATCCTCAGATGGACCAATAACTGTCATACTAAGCAGGGTATCTGAGTGAAACTTCGAAATGTTCTTATTTTACTCAGCAGGGGAACAGAAAATGACAGGTTGTGTCAGAGACTACAGCAGTGGTTCTCAAGTCAAGTCCTCGAGGCCCACTGTCCTGCATGTTTTGGATGTTTCCCTGCTCCAACACACCTGATTCAAATGATTAGCTCGTTATTAAGCCATTACAGAGCTTGATAATGAGCTGATTTGAATCAGGTGTGTTGGAGCAGGGAAACGCCCAAAACATGCAGGACAGTGGGCCACGAGGACTGGACTTGAGAACCACTGGACTACAGTAAGAGCGCACTTTTGGTCCCGTTTCCTTAATCTAATGTGGGCTGTGTACACAATGGCTTCAGCTGTAAAAGTTTATTTTTATTTACGTCATTCAATTTAGGAAAGCCAGAGAGGATGAGAAGTGAGAACGCCAGAGAAAGCACTGTGTGAAACTAAATACAGTCAAGTCTAGACCTGGAAGATGCTGTAGAAAAACAAATGGGATTGTGTCCAAAAGGCAATTATTTTTGCTTAATCAACCTGATGAGCGCATTGTAAGCTGTGAATGAAACTTAAGCCTCAGAGAGCAGAACCCGTTCTTATGAGTGCGGCAGATTTTTTTTCTCTATGACGAGTTTTAGGATGTACGTGCTTGCAGGCACACTTCCTCTCAGCTCAGTTATGTTATTGAAAACCAAACCTTAACTGTTATTTTTATCCAACAGACAAATCAGAGCAGATTTTAAAAAGCAAATCCATCTTTCCATTTCAGGACTGGACAGTCCTAATTTTTGTCAAAGAACACATTTTTTATCATCAAGTAAGCAATAATGATTTTTGGAAATTAATACATTTATAATCATCATTATGCCCATAGAAAGACTAAACTGTACCATTTAAACAGCCACTTTTAATTGCTAGTTAAAGGCTGAACATGTTTAACATCTTAACTTAAGTGATGATGTTTGGAGAGTTAGATTCTGGAATGACGCCAACATAAATCTAAAAACACGTCATTCTTTTTTGGTTTTTAAGAAAATGGTTTGTAATGCTATTTTTGAAGCTTATAAGTGTGATTATCTGTTGTTGTGGTTTCTTTGCTTTTCTGGAGCTCGGTAGCCTAAAAAGTTGACAATACAGGATAGGGATTTTATAAGCAGTCCGTTTCTGCCCATGGCTTTTCAGTCAATTTTCAACACATGATTCTTGATTTAGTGATTTAGTGATTATGTGTGAAATGTCAATATTGTGTACAATATTTGGTGTTGCCATGACTGAATAGACAACTACTACTACTACTACTACGACTACTACTACTACTACTACTACTACGACTTAGTCTTCCTATCACTGAGGTATTAAAGGGAGAGACAGGATCGCTGTGAAGCGGTGGAGCTGCAATGGCTGGGCAGTGTGAGCACTTGTCCGTGTTTGTGTGTGTGTGTGTGTGTGTGTGTGTGTGTGTGTGTGTGTGTGTGTGTGTGTGAGAAGCTCTTGTGCCTCTTGTTTTCTGTGATTTGTTACTCAGTATGAAAAAATCACACACTGGGACTTCAATATTGCCGTGTTGCTGGACAAAGGTGAGATGCAGCCGAACTTTTGTGACTTTTAGGCCTTTAAAGATTTTCCACATTTCAATGATATATCAGGACCAAAAATAGACCACTGGAGTCTTTCCACAAAGCCATACTAAATACCCAGATTCTCCATAAGTCAGAGGTGTGCATAACAAGGAGAGGAGCTAAAATGAAACCAAAATTCAACTTAGAATAATACTATAGATTAAAGCTGATGTGAGGAACTTGTAGTTTGTGTTGGTTATGGTGTCACCTGCTGTCAATCATTTCAATTGACACGTCCCCCCTCACAGCAGTTTCATTTGTTAAACATCCTCACAGCAAAATGATCAATCGTGTTGCTGATCGTCTTGTGTAAAAAGACTTCAGTGTCAGTTTCAGCCTCTTTAAAAACTCTCCAGAGTGCCTTTAAATGAGCAGTATGCTCATGTTACAGATGGACAAGAGCACACAGTTCACTGGATCTGTCAACAGTGTCATGAGTAAATGAACATTAAAAATTCAGTGCAACTCTTGACTCCACTTCCTGTTGTCCAGGTGGGAGGTGTTGTGGTCAGGTGAACCCACAAAGATGCTGACACCCCACGCCCGCCAGTTTTCCCCAAACATCAAGCACATCAACTTCCCCACGAACCTGCTTCGCCTGGAGGTCAACAGCTCCCTGCTGGACTACTACACGGAACTGGATGCTGTTATTCTGCGCGGGGTGAAAGAGAGGCCTATGCTGGCCCTCTATAAGATGCCTATTATCGACATCAGTGACCTGAGTGACAGCGAGGAGGAGCTGTCTGATGTTGGAGGGCCATTTAGACAAGGAGGAGACAGCAAATACCAGAGGACAGGGAATGGATACTTTGACAAACTGCCGTATGAGGTGATTGCAGAGCTCAAAGACGTCTACTTTAGTCACTCAGATGAAAGAACAGATACACACCATGTTAACAACAAAAAACATACTCATTTTTTATGTCATTCTGCATCTACTGAAAGGAGTAGAAACATATTTTAACAGCAAGTTTTTAAATTGACGAGGTTTTCCTTCAGAAAGCTTTTTTTGTGTGTTTTATTTCATATCTGACATAGTGTTATTTCATGTTTACGCGCTAACTATACTCTTGTCTGTCTTGGTTGTGGCGTGGTAATGGTTTTTTGTAGATCAGTTGGAAAATACCAAGAAATAGGCAGGACCATCTATCCTGTCAGTGTGTCTGTATGCATGAGGAAACAAAATCGATGTGAAAATAGTGTTTTCTGGATTTTTAAGTGGACAAATGAAACAAATGAGACGATGCCAGCTAATCCTAAAGCACTAAAGCAGGTGTTTGCGTGCACTTTCGATTTAAGCATGAAAATACCTAATTCCACTGCTGCAGATTGTACTTTTGGCTGTGATTCAAATGACAACGCACCTACTAGTAATCCATTCAACCTTCAAGATCAGTTTTCCAGTCGCTGATGCCTGATTCTTTGCATCTGGATGCATTTTTTACATAACTTTCAGAGAGTTTTGTATTTAGTTTGCTTGAAAACATGTAGTTGTTTTATCTATTACTAAAGACAGTAATAGAATGTAGTTACAATGAAACAAAACAAAGCAGCAGATCCTCATAGTTTCCTCATGTTGAGCTTTTTTTGCATGTTAAATAGCTCTCTAATCATTAAAGTAATAAGTTGTATAAAAAATTATCTTACCTCAGTCAGCCTGTTGATAAATTGTTTCAGCACTGATGCACCAGAGCATATTTGCATTTAATTCACCTGAAAAAGACAACCAGATGTAGAATCATCCGTTTTGCCTTGCCCTGTTGTTTAAGTTGTTCGCTTCTCTGTTACATTATGATCATAATGTTCTCAGAATCATTTGTCTTGACTGACTTCTGATGATTATGACTAATAGTTTAAGAGCTAGGCCTTAAATCATTATTGGAGCCGCACAGCGAGCGTGCGTGCGTGCATGTGTGCTGTGTTTATACATTCTCCACATGAACACTGTGGCACGGACCCAGGCTGACACTTGATCTAGTTTGCGCTCACAGACTGAGAGTCATTTTCGTGCCACACTGACGTATCACGTTGTCTGAGCTGAGCTCCAAAACACCGCCACCGCTCTTGATATTTGTTCTCTTATCTCCTCTCCAAACCACTGCCATTAACAGCAGTCTTCACAACCGCTGTGTGTTTGTTTCAGAAACACAATATAGCTATTATCTGTCAGCTGATACCCGCTTGAACACTGTGTATTGTTAATTCACGGCAACACTCACACGAGCACAGTCATTGTTTCTCTTTACGAGGCACATGAACATAGTGCAAAACAAAAACGCTCACCTCGTCGGCAATCCTGCTATCAGCGCTTTGTGTCCCAGATAACCAATATGAAGATCTGCCTGACAGAGGGGACACAATTAACAATCTCAGCCATACTCTTCTCTCTCTTCTAGGTTGTTCTACTCTTTAACCCTCTTTTTCTTTATTTTACTTCTTTCTCTTTCTTCCCCCTCTCCTGACTCTTCTCCCCACCTTCTATCCATAGCTCATTCAGCTGATACTGAGCCACCTGACCCTGCCAGACCTCTGCCGTCTGGCCCAGAGCTGTAAGCTGCTGCACCAGCACTGCTGTGACCCGCTGCAGTACACCCAGCTGAGTCTGCAGCCCTACTGGGGCCGGCTGAGTGACGCCTCCTTGGGACACCTGCAGAGTCGCTGCACCCTCCTTCAGAGGCTCAACCTGTCCTGGACCGGCAACCGTGGTGCTCTCACCCTGACCGGCTTCAGCAGGTCAGACTGTCAAAAGGCGTTAAGTACAGTACCAGACAACCCCAAGATAACCTTGAAAAACTAGCAAATACTCACAAGTACAAGGATTTGTTTTTAAGTTATGCAAAGAAAATGGATACGTAAGTGTTTTGGTGTTTTTAAGGGAAAAAAAAAACAACAGGAATTCAAGGATGATGACCTTTCTGTGCAAATACACGGAGGGATGGAGTAGCTGCTGATCTGCTAGGATTTTATCCTTTTTCCTTTCGTGTGATGTTCTCTCAATTCTTCCCCTCAGTTTCATGAAGGCCTGTGGTCTCAGCCTCGTCTGCCTGGAGTTGTCATGCTGCCACTTTCTGAATGAGGCCTGTCTTGAGGTCATCTCACAGACTTGTCCAGGGCTTCAGGAGCTCAACCTATCCTCCTGCGACCGCCTCCACCCACAAGCCTTCACACACATCTCTAAATTAACACGCCTCCGGAGACTGGTGCTCTACAGGACCAAAATAGAGGTAGGAAGAAGGGGTCGCAGTGAAGGTGACATTTCACTTGTGCTGCTACATCTGTCCATTCGAGTGTAATCTCAGCAGAATGTATCAATGCAGGTTACTCAACTGTCACTGATGTTTAAACTCCACACAACACTATGCATGATGAACAGCTTGTCAAGGTTTCCTCAGAATGAGCAGAAACTAACACTGTCACATATCCTTGAAACCTTAAAACACACGAACACTTTAAATTTACTGTTTTTTTTTATATTTTAGCACAAAACCACTATTTGCTTGTTAGATTGACATTCAGGTCAGAACACATCCCATGTGTTGTCTCTCAGTCTTTTGTCAGGACTACGACGTAAGCTTATCATCTTTCCAAAGATCCAACAGTGCTCACGAGTCAAACTTGCCTCTGTGGAAACAACTTGAGCATCTTCACTTTGCAGCACAAATGAAGCCATTGTCTGCTCAGTCCTTGTTCCCTGCTGCTTCTTTTTTTGCCTTCACAATGCAGCACAGTCCCATAAGCAAATTTGTTTTGCTGCAGTTGAAATCGGTTCGTCTCATACTTGTAGATTTTAGCAGAACAAAAGATAATTGCATCTTCATCTGTGATCTGTTTGGAATCAACACTTTACAGACTTTGGCAGTTTCTGCCAGCTAGCTCGCACTATTTCCAATGTACAGAGAAACTACAGTATGTCTACAGTGTAATACATTACACTCAGCCGAGTCTTGTCTGATATTAGGCTTCATAGCTTGTAGTGATATACAGTTAAGACATATGTTCACTTTTATATTGTGTCATTACAGTATTTAACAAGAGCTTTGACAAGGTGACACTCCCAAAGATTTCATCTCTTAAAAAATACAATATCAAAGATTTCACATTTAAAAACAACAACATGAGTCTGAGAAGCAGGAATGTTTTTGATGAGCCAGTTACTGTCCCTGAGCCGAACCATAGACTGTATATAGAATGGACGCCATCTGCCTCCTCACTGGGTGAAGCCACCATGAGAACAGCACCCTCTAGTGACGGGCTGCAGTATAGGTCATAAATCCCGACTCCTCCAGCAATCCCTATGGAGCTGTGGACAGACTTTAGAAATTAATTCTAAAGAAACTTTTCATACAACCAGGTATTGAGGGTATGAATTATTGGGCTCTGAAGTAGAGACCAAGTATTTTTCAGAAGTTGCTCATATCTTCATCGTCTGTTCTGATCATGTAAAGAACTGGATTTCTGATTGTGATTATGAGTTAAACCTATATCATTAAAACTCAAACAAAAACAGACTTTAAACGTGGCAGTTAACATCCCATGAATATTCATTATCTTAAAACACACCATTTTGGACTGAATAAACAAAATAACTTTGGTAACCCTTTCTTTTATGGTGCACTTATTACCAGGTAATTAACAGGTAATTACCCAGTAACAACATGAAATTATCTGGTAATTACATGATAACTACTAAGTCAATACTGTCTAGCTACCAGGTAGGGTAACCTTCCATCATCATACAAATTTAAAGCCGAATTGCTCTGGTATTTCCAGGATTTTCCACTCTTCCTGGAACCACCACTTGCGCAGTAGCATTGTATGCATTTGGTGGATGAGTCGCTGTGATAATGCTCGGCTCAAACAGTGTATCGCTACGCAATCTTCACACACCCATTGGCTGTATTACGTGTCAGTCATAGAAAATAAGAACCCCAAATTGAAAATGAAGCCGCACAGAAAAAAAGAAAAAAAGAAAAACTAGACTGTATTGACTTAGTAGTTATCATGTAATTGCCGGATAATTTCATGTTGTTACTAGGTAATTACCTGGTAATAAGTGCACTGTAAAAGAAAGGGTTACCGTAACTTCTTCTGGCATTCTAATGTTTTGAGATAAATCTGTGTGAGAATCCTCAGAGTCCCCTCAGGTGATCTAAACCCTCCACCTGAGAAATGAACTGCAGTATGTTCTATCTGTGCTGAACCAATAATAATTAATAGAAGAATAAAAACACAGTAAAGGGTTATTAACAGCTGAAACCTCCAAACACCAGCTCTGTTTGAGGGTCCATGTTTTTATTTTGGGTGTTGTTCATGCTCTGTTGTCGTCTTTAAGATGACCCGAGTCAACTCTTCTCCCAGGGGCCTCAAAATATCGCACTGCATGTGTTCATGTTCAGGCCTGTCTGACGTGTAAAAAACCACCGTCTTGTGTTTGGGTTTTGCTCCTCTGTGTTTCTTCGGTATTTGTCATGTTTCAGAGCAACGTTGTGGGCAGGAGGCAGGGTAGGGTTTCTGCGGTGGAGCCAGGCATCATGCTGCAGGTTGTTTATACCCCGGCTCACAGAGCGAGCTGTGTGTCTGTTTGAGAGCCCGACATCTCAGCTGTCATTACCCTGTCACTGCTCTAATTAAATGGCTAGCTCGCCAGAGAGAGGCGTTTATAAAGATGCCAGCTACAGACTGGAGCGCACACACCAGCCACGCACGCACAAAAGGCTTTCACTTTCATGTCTCACACTTTCTCCTGCCACTGAGGTACATGTGTTGGCAGTTCTAGTGTTGAATTCCCATATCTCCATCCAAGCTGCAGTGCCACTGGAGAGATCTGAGTCCTCACTGTGTGTGAAGGGATCCTCTGCACCATATTAAATTCTCTTAATACATTAAGTGTGAACTGAGTGCACAAGGTAGCAGACAGTAAATCCTTTAGGACTTACTTTGACCTGACATGTTCTTGCTCTTTAAATGTTCATTCTGTTTTAACATTTTAACTGTAAGAGTATTATTCACTCAGGTTTAATGTCTTATTGTTAGCTGCTTTTATTTCGATATAGGGTTCTTTGCTGTGTGTTGTCCCCTTTTGTTCTCTGTGTAGCAAACTCTTAAAGTGACCTAAACTGACTTAAATACCATTTCAAAACATGTCGACAGTGATTTGGGTATTACAGCTCTGCGCCCTTCTCTTTTTTTCTCTTTGTTTTCTCTGCAGCAAACAGCTATTCTGAGTATCCTGACTTTCTGCATAGAGCTGAGACACCTCAACCTAGGGAGCTGTGTGAGGGTGAGAAAAAAAAAACCCACAGACACCCCCACACACTCACACACACACACACACACACACAGAAAGAAGTCCAAATAAAGCACAGTCTGTTAACGACATAACCCTCCATGTGTGTTTGTTGAATAGCAGCTTGTCTAAAAGATGGCGAGACATCAGTAGTGTAGCACTAATTGAGCTGCTAACAATAAACTGGTTGGGTGTAAAACAGAGGGAGCCAGTGATAATGACACTGAACAGGATTTAAGTGAATACTTTATTGTCCATTCTTGGCTCAAAATGTGTCTTCAGCCTAACTTGACAACACAGTTAAAACCTCAGTGGAACAAGCACACAGACCAGGACTCACAAAACCACCAGCCTCAGAGTCTAATGATACCGATCAACTTCTGTGTTTCTCTAGGAGCACATTTTCTGGCATGGATCTTTTATTACATTCTATATATTTCCACAATAATGGAAATACATATTATTATGAATGGCCATTTGATAAAAGGGTTGAGTATTTTTTTAAGCACAGTTGTTGTAGTGGGGGAGAGTGGGGTAAGTGGAGCCTGCACCTGTTGCTTGGAAACGGTAAAAGAAATTGATCATGTGACCAAATATTTAGGAGATGGGCATCAATTCATGGAGTCTGTCAAGGTTAGAAGCACATGGGTGAAGGGGTCAGACATCTATTTCCAAAAAAAAAATCATTTTTCACTCTTGAAAGTGAATTTAGTCTGTCATAAGTTTGATTAGAATTGTGTTCAGACCAAAAAAGATCATTTTAAATTTGTTTTATACATCAGTTGTGGTATCTATGAGCTACAACATGAGGTCAAAAACCTAGCATAAAAGTCCACCATTTTAGCTAAGAGGACTAATAAAGTCATCATAGTAGTTCTGGGGTAAGTTGATCCAGTGGCTCAACTAAGAAAGTAAAGGAGTCTAATGAGAGGATCAGAGTTTTTGGTTCAGATTGTTGAAATGTTTTACTTTTTCTTTTCAAAAATACAGCTGTGAATGTTCTGAATCACTTAAAGACATTCTCATGTTAAAAAGATTTTTTACAAAACAGCTTTTTAGCAGTTATATCCAATAATAATAATAAAAAGAATTATTGTACCAGTTGAAGAGTGTATAATAGATAAAAATACACTCACTCTGTTGGTTTGCAGGGATGCACATCTTGAAGCAGATACACTAGTTAGAGACAAAACTATGATTGCTTTGATTTAGTGATCCGAAATATGAATAATGGCTCATCTTACCCCGGTCTCCCCTACTCTGTTGTTAGTTGCATTGTAAAGCAGCAGTAGAAAACACATATCAGCTGCAGTTGTTTCAGACTAGAGTTTGAATATCATTCGCCTCTTGCTCAGAGAAACCTTCTGCATGTTGTGATTCTATGAGTAAGGTGCCTGCACTGGCTGCGTGGCAGTTAAATTGCATTTCTTTGCTTTCATCTTTGGATGAAAGGATGAAATATGACCAACATTACCTGACACCAAAGAACAATAACAGTTTTGCAAAAACAAATCTGTTCTTAAAAGACTTTCATTTATTTTCTGGTGGAGGTGTTCTCTGTTCCTGCTTTGTTCTCTCCTTGGGTAGTCAGGGTATGTCCCTCAAACTAGCAGATACAGCTTATCACTTTTTTTTTCTTATCATTACATTTCCAAAGTTAGCTCAAAATACACGATTCAATTTAAGGAAAGCAGCTTTGAAGTTAGTTTATGCTTAGTTCTTTTGTTCTGTGCCTCCCAAGAGTAAATGGTTTAGTTCTTTGAATTTACGAACTCCCAGAGTATTGAATTTTATTTTATTTACATTTGCTGAAGCGAAACCACAAAACCCCCTATATCTTTGGGATGTTTTGTATGACATGCACACACAGACATGGAGAACAACAATAAACAAGACCCTCAAACTAAGGAGGCTCTCAGAGTGACATATTTGAAGGAGATCAACTTGAAACGGATATAGAGCCCTACAGCCTCCCTGCTACAGATGCTGCCTTGAAGCAAAAATAGATGATAATGCCATCTTGTCTCTCCTTCAGATTGAAGACTATGATGTTGTGGCCAGTATGCTTGCTGCTCGCTGTCGCTCACTCTGCTCCCTGGACATTTGGCGCTGCAGAAACCTGACCGACAGAGGCCTGGCGGAGCTTGTCGCTGGCTGCAGGTAGACACATGAGATATGTTGGAAGTAAATCTTTTTTCACTCTGACCAAGGAGCATTAACAAGAACGAATTCAGCTTTTCATTAGTGTGACACCTTTTTGACTATGTCCTTGAAAGGTAGATTCATACGTTTCTATTCAAAACCATTTGATGTCTTTACACACTGTATACATAAAGTATAGAAGCTCACTTTTAATTTTTTAAGAGAACCCATCTGATCTCTCAGTCCCATTATATTCATTCTGATTTAGATAAACCCTCTGAGTTCAGTCTATCAGCTACAGGGCCAAAACTAAATATATCTGATGTCAGTGTCCAAAACTTGTCGACAGAGTCACCCCGCTGCTCCTGCATCATGTCTGATCTGTGTTTGTTTAGGATGCTGGAGGAGTTGGACCTGGGTTGGTGTCCCACACTGCAGAGCAGTACAGGATGTTTCCAGAACCTTGCCCGCAGCCTGCCTCGTCTGCGCAAACTCTTTCTAACTGCAAACCGCACCGTCTGTGACTCAGACATAGAGGAGCTGGCCGCCAGCTGCCCCTCACTGCAGCACCTGGACATACTGGGTGAGCGCTTGTTGTTCTTTTTGTTAGCTTATAATAAACTTTTAAACATAATTTTGAAAGTTAGCTGATCATTAACCTCTGGTGTTGAAATATGATATGAAGCCAAAGTGAAGGTGCTAGAAACTGCAGTTTTCTGAGTGTCTAATTAAAGGGATATTCCGGTGTAAAATTAAGTTAAGGTCAAACACACCGTAACACCGAGTTAGACACCCCCTCGAGAGATGAGTGTTGCCGACTGCTTGCTTCTCTAGTTATACCAACTTCAACAAGGACCGCATAATAGCAGTATACCTCTCCACGTGCTAACCTCAACCAAAAATCCACTCTATAGCCACAAATAATGCTCAGAACAGCATCTAACTTCATCAACAGTACATGTAGAGTCCCAGCTATGGTACTAGCCATCAAACATCTTTGTAGCTTTGCCTGATTTCTTTCAAAAAAGAGACCAAACACAACTCGCCTACTCTCTTCCAGCAGCTGCTTGCTTGTGGGGGAGCCCTGATGAGTCGATCACAGAGCGTAGTGGAGTTTCGCAGCTCAAGGAAGAACATTTATGATCATTACTTCATGGAAATGCAATCAGACCGAGACTCTTAGGCAGAAGAAGTACTGCGTCTGCAGTGAAAAATGATTATTATGATGATTATTACTTTAAGGAAATGATCCGCTACACTTGGTGATGGACTCGTCAGGGCTCCCAAAAGCCCCAGAAACCACGTACACCCCTGTTTTTAAAAGATCCAATTTTTAATGCAAAAATAAACATGTTTACAGCCTGGTACAAAAAAGGATTTTGGTGTGTGAGCACTCTGTAGTTTTTTGCAAGGAGAATCAAAGCTAGCTTAAATACCAGAGACCAATAGATGACATCCCTGAGACTGTGCCTGTGTTTTATACAGTCTAAGTTAAAACCTAGACTTGCTTATTTTGTCCACTTGCACATGTGGTTTTCAACAGCAGTAATACCTCTCTCAGTATGAAGAATGGAACTTGTGCATTGATCAGTGATAAGTCAATGATGGGACATATTTGTGATCATGTACTCGTGTCATTTGATCCAAAGCTGCAGTGGACAGGTCTTCCTCTGTCTTTCTCTTCAAGGTTTGAATTCAAAAAAAGTTTCTGAAACCTCAGCAAACACAAACCTGTAAAAAAAAAAAGCTTCGTTTCAACACAAATAAAGAAAAAATGCTCACTGGGCAAAGTTGCTAAAGAAGTAACTGCTGTGTGAAACATTGTAGCTCCAGTTGCATAATGTGACGGCCTTGGCAGCTCGGTAGCATTACAAGCATTAACCAGGCTGTCTGTGCTGAAGTGTCAGTTCTGTGGCTATTACAAGTTTGAGTCTTCCCATAAGCTCAGGAGTAAATCATCTGTTTACAGGTTATTAGCATACAGCATTTTGGGGGGGGGTGTAGAGTTTATATTTGTCTGTTTGAAGTATAACCTTACTGCATGTTTATGTTTCAATCTAAACTTTTTATTGCCCGGTGTGCTTGAATGTGGTTTTGATTAACTCCGAGTTAGAAATGTTGTATTTTTTTTATTTTTCTGCTCAGGTTGCATTTTTTTCAGCGCGTTGTTTACATTTCTTCCTATGCCTGTGTCTTTTCCATCTGACAGGTACACGCTTGGTGAGTGCTGCCTCACTGAAGAAGCTCCTCCAGTCTTGTCCGAAAGTTCTCCTCCTGGACGTCTCCTTCTGTTCTCAGATAGACATGCGGGTCGTCCAAGAGCTTACGGGTCTCTTCCCAAATGTGGCCATCAAGAAGAGCTTCACTCAGTGACCTAGACTCTTCTGTTTTTCCACAGTCCAAAAGAAGTAAGAGGAGCAAAGTGCTTGCCAGCAAATACTGCCCAAAAGTGGGTAAGAGGCAGGTCAGATGCTGATGGAGACATCTGCCCTTTCTGTGTCTGTATCACAAGTGAGAGCTTTTTTTTAGCGGTCTGAAAAGAAGGATTAGCTGGCTGGACACAGACAATTACAGACTCCAGGCCATGGGATAACAAAACAAGAGACTTCATACATGTCTTCTGGACACTTGAAATTAGGGTCAGTGCAGTAAAGCTGCTAAATCCTTGAATTTGAATCACCTCTGACATATTGCCAAGCAACTCAAGGGTAGAAATTCGCCTTGGTACTGGATGCAAAACATAAAACACAAGACAGTTTTGTGAGCGAAGTATACTATTAATGCAGGAAAACCGCTGCAGGATTAGGAAGATACACATTCATGTTAACTGGAAACATGGTAAAAGACCGGGCCTTGGTCAGTGCCTTGTCAGAATGTGCATCTGTTTTGACGCATGATCGTCGTTCTGAAGGTATCTGTAAGCCGCTTAGATTTGACTGAAGAAACCATACGTGAAGCTGTTGTCTTTAAGGTAATTGGCGCTGAAAACAAAGCAGTGAACTAAGCCTTATTTCATACAGTATGATATGTAAAGTGTCAACTCAGACCTGGAGGTAAAGATCATGTGTTTTCACAAACTGGGTGACTCTCAAATCAAAAAGCACACCATCAACAAGATTCACAGAAAACAAGTTTTTAATCAAAAACCTTCAAGAATGTGAGAGGTTGTGAAAAAGAAGGAGGAGTTAAAAAAGCATGAACGGTATTTAAAAAAAAGCAACAAATGGTTTCATTGTAAGGTAGTGACACAGTCCAGAAACGAATATGTACAATAACAAACACTAGAGACTAGCAGCAAATCCTGACCTGCAGGAAGTGTGAACAGCAACTGAAACAACTGGATGATGCTATAAAAAGCCAAAGTTTATGATTGATTCACATTGTTATTTAAAATGCTGCAATGACACAATATAGAGACGATTCAAACCACACTTACTGTTCTCCTCTTTGTCTTGGTCACCACCTTCACTCTGCACACACTTCAAATATTTATCTGTAAATTTAAAGAAAACTTTAGTATGGTGCACATGATACTGAGCTGAAGCTTTTTATTTTGGTTTGAATCTGTAGTGAAAAAAAAGATCCCACAAGATCTGGATCTGACACACCTGAATCAGGTGAATTTCTGTGTAAGTCTGCCATATCAAGTTAACAGGGTCTTTCAAAAGTGAACTTTTGTTACTTATTCTGGACTCCTCAAGGACGGCACAAATGAAGGCCGGGTTGATAATTTAGCCAAGCCAAAGTTGAAGGTATTAGATTTATTTGTGCTTTTCTGATACTCTTTAATTTTATGTTGATTTTGTTCATGTTATTTTATGGAAATTATGAGCAAACCTGACTTTAAATATAAATGATCAAGTCTAAAATTGGGTTGCACAGTGGCTTCATAATTTAGCACCTTTTTCACTCAGCTGTTAGTCACTGTAGTTAAAATAGGGACAGTTTCTTGGATGGTAAGGGGTCCTGTGGAGAATATATGTTAAGCAGTGTAAATACTCTGTGACCTCAGTATTTTTCCTGTTACTCAGGGGTTTGAATATTTCTTCTGGTTCAATATTTTGACTTTGTATTGTGCGAATGGCACCAGCACAGCAGATATTTTTACAGATAGTGACGCCAGACTGAGTCAGCTTTGAAGCCGCCTGCAGTCTGTTGATCTTTGAGAACAAACACACATTAAAAACGATCAGTAAGCACTGCACAGCACTGATGTAACTTGGGCAAAGACTTTCTGCTTTTTGGATGAGGAATGTTGTAGTAATTGTATGATTGTGGAGAATATGTTGTTGTCGTTGCTGATTATTTAATTTTTGTAATATATAAAGTCACATTGGTAATGTGGCAGAAGTGCTTGAAAAGCAGTTCTCTTATAAAACTTGAAGTTTTTTTCTTTTGAAGCTAGGCTACTAGTGAATATTTGTGCCTTATACTCCTGGTTGAATGTGGTGTGCTGTCCATGTGGTTTTGATTGTAGTGAACTGCTTTGCTTTATTGCCTTTCAACCAAAGTACTGGTAATACCCTAACACCTGGTCCCACTGTTATGAATGACCAGTTTATATGCCATATACTGTACATCAGCCAGGGTAATTAATATGCAAAATGATATTTATTTATACTTATTTAAACTCATTTTCCTGTATATGCTAACAGTTCTATACATTTTGGAAGTTAATGTTTTTTCTTTTTAGCTCAGTGTCACATAAGATATGTGTAATGCACCTATTTAATTGCGTTAAGTTTGTGTCTAGCCTAGCTTAGCTTAAAGAGTTGACTTGGTCTGGAATGGAAACAAAGGAAAACCATCGACTGCAGAAGAAAACGCTAGCCTGCTGGTTAGTTCTTAGTTGTATTTGACAGTTTTCTTTTAAATGACACATTCTCTATCACGTGTACTTCACCCGCTTGCTTAGTAACCACTTGTAAATAAGTGAGGTTTTTGTTTTAACTTGTGACGGTGCAGTGCTCATTGTGTAGTGTTAAAGATACTGCTGATGACACAGAGGTCATGTCCATTTTTAGGCGCATTGCTCCTTTAATTTTCAAGTCATGTTGTAAATTCTGCTTTCGAGGCAAACTAAAGTTTAGGTGTTTCTCACAGCTGAGGGTTTTAGACTCAGACGGAGGGAACAGAACAGTGAAATCTGGTATTTTTGGGCTCATTTGTATTATCTTGAGTCATAAAAATGTAAAAGGATCTTGCTCGAGACTGCTCCCACTGTCGTTGCTAAACTAGGCTAAACACTACACGGTTCCATCATTGTTACTTAACACTGAGAACTCAAGTAGACGTCAGCCTCCTCACCTATAATTAGGGGGTTGGAAACAAACAAAATAGTAAAAAAAAATGCTGGACATTACAATAAGTCATTGTATTTCAAGTTTATTTTCAGTCTGAGCTGTGTTTTTAAAAGAATGGTAACAGTGTGACACATCAGCTCTCATTCAGATGATGCAATTGTTACTTCAGCGAGGGGGAGTCAGCTGGTTGACATACATCATCATTTCCTGGCCCACATAATCCAGGCAGTCATTATAGGTATGCTATGAGAGATATACTTTCACAACAGAAACACTGATGATGTGTGGTGTGTACTCAAACTGTCAGGAACAGCGTTCATTTGTTAGGCAGACTCTAAAAAAAAGTGTTCACAGCTCTCTCATGGTCACTGTTCGGCCAGAAGAGCGCTGTGTTTCAGCACTTTTACACACGCGTTTTCTTTTTAGCTCCTTACCTTGAAGGACTGTGTTGGCCTTGCTTCTCTGTAATGAATATGCATTCTCTCTCCTCCCACTCTGGATGTGTGATCAACCTTCGTGCCATTGGTAGGACATGCAGTAATGCCCCCCCTGTGCTGCGGTGTAAAAGCTGCTGTTGTGTGGAAAGATTGTGCCTCTGTCATGATGAAACCGGGTGCTTGACTTTCACCAGATTTGAAATAAACCCAAGGCTGATACAGTGAGTTCAGTGTCCGTGTGCTTCCTTTATTAAAGCTCCAGATATTATCTGTAACCTGACTGTGCACATGAATTTAGTTGCTATCGTATCATATTTTCCTTAACTCTTCAGCTTCAGTGAGCAGGACACTGTCACTATAAAAAAGAGAGAGAAGTGTGTTACTGTGTCACGCTGATGCTGATCAGTAAATAAAGCCGTGTTAGTGTGATTGAGATAAAAGAAGGATTCGCTTCGAGATCTTCAACAAATACCGAATCCATTAGTCAGGATGACTGACTGGATTGTGGTTTCAGAATGATCCTTTTTGCCTTAACCCTCTGCCATTTTACACTCTATTAATACCACAGAGAGAAGTGACATTAGCTTGTCTTCTTAACGGCCTTTTAATGAATTGTTTATGCCTGGTTTAATGATGTATATTGTGGCCCTGTAATGTGCCCTAATGACGGAGAACGAGGCGGCCTCGGCTGAAGTATTAATTTAAACTGCCTCCCCAATGATTATTCCTCAGCCAACAACACCACTGCTGCAGCCTCTGCTGCTGTGTGTGCGTGTTCGGAAACTAACCTGATTCATGGAGCCTCTCCACTCTGTGCTATTGCTTGATTTCTGGCTGTCACGCTGCCCTATGAGGCTGATGTATCCAGAGGGGATCCACAGCAATTAGATCAGCTTTTATTTGTCTTTCAAGAGCTTACATACACAGCCCCTATGAATCTGCAGGGGGGGGAATGTATGGATGGAAATATTGTTCCTGAATGATAATTCCAAAATGTAAACATAGAGAGTAATAGGGGGGTTGGTTCCAAGGTTGGCCCATGTCTCCCCTACATGTCTATCCCCTTTTTTCTTCACTCTTCCATCAACAAACCCAGAGAGTGACACCAGGACATACCTTAACAAACATGGCAGCACCCTGCTGGTTCAGTAATAGTCTTCTCCTCAGTAAGACACATGTCTGCAGAGCGCTGTGGTCTGCCTCCCGAGTCGTCCTCAGGCTGGGACTCGACAGGCCTCAGACCTGCCTGAGGGAGGCCTCCCTGTGATACCCATCATTATGTGGCTGGGTGTTCCTTCTCCAGTTTCTTGCCCTCGACTCTAATAATGAAGACATCCCTGTCAGTCTTGGTGCTGCTGTGTCTAAAGCGTATTATTTTTGTTTTGTTTCAGAGCATGGTGAATGTCAGCTCTGAGTTTCTTAAATCCGTCTAAATACTATAATCCATAGATAGCTTTGTGATGCAGCACAACGGGCAATGATTCTTTTAGCCTAGTCTAAATCCACGAGGATTTGTTTTATATTTGCACACATTTTTTACACAAACTACCACGTGCTGTCCGGGTGTAGTTACTGCAGATGATTGACAACATGGCGCAGACAATTTGTAACCCTGATCTGATGCAAGTGTTGCACATGCAGCCCAGTGAAAAGGCAAATATTTCTCGAAAAGGTTGTTGTTTTTAAAATAAAGATACTTTTTCTGTTTCTGTGTGTCTATAGATTCTAAATCTGTGAAAATTTCTGTTTGTGTCAAAGTTTAAACGCAGCAGAACAGACACTTCAGTAAAAGTATTCAAGCTAACTGAACATTAACAGACCTAAAGCCTTTTAACTGAAATCACTCAAACAAAAACAAGTGAGTCAACTCCACGAATGTTTTTCTTTTATTTTTTTTGTTGCACTTTATTGCCTCAATATAAAATGAGAATATTTTCAAATTTGATATAAATGTACTCATAAGATTTTTTAAAAATGGGGAGCACAAGTAATATACTGTTGGAGGATCCTCTTTCATGGAGCCTGCCATCTTGCACGGACATGTTTCTGCGGTAGCACAAAATGGACAAACTTGTAACATTCACGTTTTTGGATTTTTGCTTATTGCACCACCCAGAAGACGAAAGCAGCTGTTGTCATGTGTTGAAGAAGTTCTATCGATAGTTAAATAGAGGATCACTATTATCATGCATCGCAGAAAGCCACTGTTGCTTGGCTCCAGAAGCGATCGGGGTGAGCAAAGGAGCTTTTCAGTCCAGTATCTAACTGGTAGATATCTTGATATATTCCTATTTTAAAACACTTTAACATAAGTTTCCCAGTTGAGATAATATCCGGTGGTATTTTTGAACGAGTTTGGTACGTGAGGAAACTCAATGTAAGGTCGACTCACTGTTGTGTTTGAAGCTAATCAGCAAACTGAGGTGCCTCTCCCTGTAACATCTGGCTTGATTCAAGCTGGTTGGATGAAAGCCTCAAACGGCCTCTTAATGGATTTTAAATTTAAGTTTTTGCTCATATTTTTTTAATGAATTTGTATGTTCTACTGAAATGAGTGGACTACAACTTCAAATCTTTCCTCACTGGAAAAATCTCATTAAACTTCTCTGACAGTCATCCATCTAAAGCCTCATGTCCTCTCTGCAGTCCTGAGCCTCTCAGATCCTCCTGGACATCCTCAAACGGGATCAGGCACAGAAGCTGTGTGAGATGGCCTTGCCTAGAGACGAGGATGTTCCACAAACAGGCCGAGCAATTACAGCCTGAATAATTATGCGCTGAGGGGGAGACACGATTCGCCCCACTGATCAGCAAAGTTCATGTGAAGTTATAATTAAACAATAACTGGTTTACAAATGAACGCACACACGCATTTGTGTACTTAAGTGTGCAGAGTGTAATTAGCTGCGATGCATCTGAGTGAGATTGAAGAACAACAATGTCAAATGGTGGAATTATGTTCAGCTTGTGTGAGTGTATCATTGTTATCTGTGTGTGTGGTGGGGGGCAGGAGGAAGAGGGGAGGAGGGAGTAAAGAGAGAAAGACAGATTGAAGGAGTGATTGATACAGAAGGCTGATTCATCTTCACACCAAGCTGAGATGGACAAGATGTTTGACAGGGAAACTTTCTGCAAAGATATGGGATTGAGATCTCAGGAGGGTTAAATAAAGTTTGTCACAAAAACATCCGATCATTCAAAATTAATTAAGCCTCAGGAAATCATCGTGGAACATTGTGTTGTTACACCTGATGTTGAATAACAGCTTGTGATCCTGAATTTGTCTTCAAACAAACATGTATTCCTGCCTGCTGTTCAATCACGCTTTTATTCGTCGTTTTTCTAACATGCTTCTACATCTGATAACTACAAATCACTTTTTTTTTCATCCTGTTTTTGCTGAGTCAGCCTTTCGTTTTGACCACACCTGGACACATGGTGCGTCTTACTTCATTACCTATTGCTGGAGGCGCTTTGTCGCCTCTGTCCATCAACAGCATTAGAATTAAACAGATACACTTACAGCTGGAGTCTCTTTAATGTTTCCAAGGAGTCAGCGGAGAGTAATCCTGATCGCCTGATAAACGTGTGTATCACAGAAGCTTCAGACAGTTTATACTGATGCCCCCGCAGGATGTTACCTGCTTGCCTGAACAGGCTTTGAATACCAGGATGTTCCTTCACCTTCAAAATTTTGGATTTCTTAGAAGCACTTTGCAATGAAACACAAATCCTTGCAGTGTGAAGTTAAAGGTCTGTAAAATCAGCTTGGAGGTTAGTGTGATGAGTTTACAGCTGGGCCTCGAGTGATGACAGCCAGCATGGAAATTGTCAGGACTACAAAACTGAAGAAGCGAAAAAAAGCATCCAGCCATCATACGTTTCCTCTTCACACTTGTAATTTTCCTCTGACATGTCACATGGAAAGGGCCTAGTGCTTATTTTGTCCGACCAGTGGTCCAAAACATTGAGAGATTCAGTTTTGATTTGAAAAGCTGGAAAAGGATGTGTTTGTCTGGATATTTCAACCCTTTGACAGCTTGTTATAATGTTAGTTACACTAAAACTACACAGCAGTGCTTTCTCGGGAAAATACGGAGAAAGTACCGCCGTGCTCTGAAACAAACAGGACTTTTTGTTGGCTTGTTTTGACTTTTAGTGGAAGAAAATGTCGCTTAGCATATGACCTCTTTAAAGTTTCAAAGTTATTTTTTCAAGTTCCTGAAGATTTTCTGAATGGAACAGATTTTTATAGAGTATTTCTATTAGTTTTCAGGTCTGCGTTTTTATTCAATGTGATGATTTTTAGTGATTAACTGTTTTAAACTGATACATCTTGTGTCTAATTTAATTACACATTACCAGAAATTGGAATTATTCACAGTTTTTATATTCTGACGCTTCATATTACTTCAAAGTGGGAAAAAAAGTATCTTGGTGAATCTTGAGAAAGCTTTTTTGCCCTTGTAAAAAACTTTTAAACAGCAAAATCACAGACATGAAATAGCTGCAGAAATCTGCTTCCAAACCAAAGTGACAGAAATAGATAACGTCCCAATGGGCACTATAAAAAATTAACTTTTATCCCATTTTCCCCCTTTTAATATCCAAAGTATGTATTGTGTTTATCCATTCATCTTTAACAAACAATTCATGTCTCTATGTTGTACTTTAGGTTTAATGTTTTGCATGCTGGTCACCTACGGAAAATAAATATTTACCATAAAACCCATCGACTAAAGATGAAAGTTTTCAGTCTTTAACTCTGAACGTAGGGAGTCAAAAGTAAAACGAACTTTATGATTGTGATTTTTAACAGCAAAAAATACCTAATACAGATAAAAATAACTAACTAATAATAAATATACTGCAGCTCTGATTTCATGTTCCAATAGTTCCAATAGTAGAGACAGCTCTTCCTGTTTAAGTTTGGACATGTGTAATATTGACCTCTGGTGTCTCAGCCTGCTGACCTCTCTGTTTATTTGTACAGTATTGTCTATTAGCTTTACTCTAGTTCTTGATCTCCAATGTTTCTTATTTGTAATCACTAAACACTCTATCAGATTATACACATAGTTATTGTGTATATTTAATCATGAGCTCATGATTTTACCAGGAATTGAACAGCCAATATCACTTAGTAGTAACCTTCACAGGAGCTAAAATGACACAGCAGCTTGGACTCACCCTGACGTGATGCTGGCGTCGCTAGATGGCGCTAGAGCACCGACTATCCCCCCCTCTTTGTGCGTCTCCTCAGCTCAGCTCCACAGCAAAGCAGACAGACAAGAGTGAGTGTTTTCACTCCTCCCCGAGAGCCTGATGGGAAATTTGAAGTCACCTAAATAAAAAGGAAGCTTTAATTAACGCGACGCGCTGTTAATTCATCTGCAGGAGAGCGGATGAAGGGCGCGAGGGCGGAACTCGAACAAAATTTCGACTTCAGAGCTCCGGGGAAAGGGGGCTCGGTATCCGGGTGTCATTTCGTCCAAATGGCAGGTCAAACGACGAGCCGTGCAGATGCAGAGAGGGGGCCGTGTCTCTCACTCCTCAGCAGCTGTGAGAAAACAGGATGTGGACATGATACTCTTCTTTGTATAGGGCTGATATTGACTGTGCTTAAAATGCCATACAGAGGTAAACTAACCATACTGCAGCTGATGAAAATACAATGAGGTTCAATAGGAGCACTAAAGCAATTAGGGGAAGCTGCTGTAAGACCTTTCTCTAACCCTACAGACTGGAGGACGTTGCGCAACATTTTCTGAAAGGAAAGCGAACATTTTTTTGTCAATATTTTACCACAAATCAATCATTATTTATCTAATATATACATATATTTTTTTTAAATCCGAAGCCAATGACATGGTTGGATTATCCACACACACACACTCAAAGCCCTATAGAAATTATTTACATGGTTACATTAGTGAAAATACTAATCTTCAACATACTTTTACTGTTTGTGATCAAATCAATTAGGCCCAGCGGAAGCCACCAATAACCGTTCGACTAATCGATTCCCAATCAATCCTGCATGGTTTGCCTAATAGTGCTGAGGCGTGTAAATCTCATTTTCACTTTATCCACACACACACTCATCTGTTCACACTTTGTGCAGCTATCAGCATCTTGTTTGGAAGACTTAGAGGAAGGATCGGGAATATTGCAAATACTGTTAAAGAAAATAAAACCAATACGGAGGAGTCAGGGGGTAAGTGAGCGAGTTTTGCATTTTGCTGGGGTTGTAATCTTAAAAAATGAAATGAATCAAAGTGTGTTTTAGAGAGAGAAGCTCTCACAAATATCACAGCTAGTGTTCCTGTGGGAATAGAGGAGAGAAATGACAGAGCACAGGGAATAGAAAAATACCATCAGGGTCACCACTGTCACCATCACTGTTATTATGAGTCCCAACAGAAACACTGCTTTTTACGAGAGGGTCTTCTAGGAATTTGTCAGGCTGACATTAAACCCTATATATGTTCACATGAAAACCCTTTAAATCCACCAGCAACCTCAACATTCACTAAATCACACAATCAGTGGAAAAAACGTGTTTTTTTTTCATTTGAGGTCAAAAGGTGATTAATTTTTTGTTTTTGTTTTTTCTTGGACAAATCAGGAATGAAGTGTGTCTTTTTAAAAACAAGAAATCAAGAAACTACTCGCTCATAATACATTTTAAACGTCGTAGTAAAATCACATTAGAGTGTAAAAGTGAAATCCATTTAGTGTCACATAAAATAGCGTTTAAATAAGCATGGCAGATCTATTTTTAGGGCCACTATTGATCCTCGGACCACACTTTTGGAAGCCCCTCATTCAGCCTGGATGGTGGTTGTGTTTTCCCAGCCAAAGGCAGTGCATTTAAAAGCAGCCCGGAGCAGAAGCAGCACATCATCGGCTCACAATCTCTCATCCATCAACCCCTGATTTTCTCCCAGCTATTAATTCAACCCAAACCACCAAGCTGAAGGAAAGAAGTGTTTCTTCTTTTTTGATTTTTTGTTGTTTTTTTTAAACAGCACAAAAGTCAGACAGACCGTGATCTGCAGCAGCATCCAGCTCAGAAGAGTTAAAAAAAATACATTTAGGCTCGACGTTGGAAAAAAGCTGTTTAATATCAACCCCATTATTTAAAAATGTGCAAGTCCGTTATTCATGTGTAGAAGGATGAAACACCTACAGGCGTTTCTCACCTCTGCTTAATCTACCCCAAGTTCATCCAGTGAATATGACACAGCCTACACCCCCCCAAAACCACACGGCTGCTTTAACAAGCAATGGAGAAAAAATAATAAGAAGAAAAACAGCGTCGGATTGCTACAGGTCTACATCCCACAACTTCAGTTTGCAGTGAATTATAAGTTGGATGGATTCATTAAAGCTACTAAGGAAAGATTTCGCTGCCAAGATCTTGTCTGCTTAATTTTTTTTTCTGCAGGAGAAACACAAATCAGAAAGAGGAAATAAAACAGTTTTCACATATGAGGAAAAAAAGAACAAATTCCATTGGGTTTTTTTTTTAGAGTTTGCATGAAACGAAAACGAGCGATTGAACGGGTAAAAAAAAAGATGTATATACATGTAGCTGTGACGGTCCAGGCTGTGGCAATCCCGCTGATAAAACAACAAAATATGTCTCTCTTCTCCCCTACAAAACAAAAGCCCCCCTCAGTGTCATTTCATATATATCTCGCACTTTGTGTCATCTATGAAAGCCATTGTATAATAAATTACAATCTCATTAACAAGACTAAAAAATAAAGTCAAATGTCTACCAGGAAAAAGTCCCCCGATGAAATAAAGCAACAATCACACAGATGGACAAAATGGCTGAAATGAAATACATGGCAACGACCTCACAAACATTAAAACAGCACCTTGTAAATAATAATAATAATAATAATAATAATAATAATAATAATAATAATAATAATAATAATAAAGAAAAGTTTGATCCTATGCTGCGATTTTTGGAGTGTCATTTAAACCAGTTTAGGAGAATTTTAAAAGGCCTTATTTAATTTTGTTTTATCTCTAAATGATGATTTCCTACTTTAATTCTCTAGATCTGATTTATTGAGGACAGTTTTCTCCAACAGTGTAATGATTAATCTGAATTTAGTCCTCTAAGCACTTTATTTTGATTGGAAACACTAACCTATGGAATTTCTGTGCGGGAATTAAATGGTAAGTCAGAACTCCATAGAAAAAAATAACAAATGAAATTGATTTCACATTAACTGAAATCATCTTTGACTGACAGTAAAATGCGCTGCATAAAAATATAAAAGTATTCTCGAGCAAATGTTCGGCAACAAAATGAACGTTAAATAGCACACAGATACAAGGCAATAGGTAGGGTGTGAATGAGACTGGATTAAAAAAAAAAAACTCAACCTGCTTGTTTTTTTTTTTTGTCTTTTTTTTCTTTTATGAAAAAAAAATCCAAAAAAAGTGCCCCAGTGAAGAAAGAAAAAAAAAAGGATGAATCTATGACTTTTAAAGTTATACAATATTTACAAAAGTGGATCCAAATGTTCTGTGAGAGTAGGTGACATATACTTTTGTAGATATATATCTTTAGCCCATCCTGCTGTGGAAAAGTGCCAGATAATCCATTCAGTAGCCACGGAGCCCTTCCTGCAGCTGGGAGACTCTCTGAGAGGGGGGGGAGAACTATTATTTGGCGCATATTTTTGAAAAATATAACAGGACCTTTTGTTTATTCTGCTTTTTTCTACTTATAACAGAGGTCACACGATAATATTTACCACCTAAATGCCTTCGGGACTGATGTTGAAAAGAGTTTGCCAAAGAGCTGCAAAAAACTATATCATAATAACAAGAGTAATCTGTGCTGATAAGTAAATCCTGACCTCGGCGTTCACAGAATAAATAAGAGCTGAATGGCCTGCAGCTTCCCAGCAGTGCTCTGAATGTAAAGCGGCTCTGTGCTGCCTGGCTGACAGATGGGACTCAGGCGATGCTCACCCTCAGCTGGACTCCACTGGACTGGGGCTGCAGCCTTTACTGGCCTTTAGTTTACTCCATTAACGCAGCTCCTTTGACCCCCCCCCCCCCTCCCCAACTGCACCCCCTTCCCCCCCTGCACCACCCACCCACCCATCACTGCTGGACGCACAGTTTAGAGCTACAAAACTAAACGCCTTTGCATTTGTTTTCCCTTTTACGCACAGGAACATGTGTTTTTGTGATTCGATATAAAAGTGGCGAATGGAAACCATTCAGCTAAGCTTTTCCTCTAAAACCTGGGATCCCTCCTCCCCCTCCCTATTTTTCGTCAAGTATAATTTCAATACACAATAGGGGCTACACCTTGAAACTGCGTCGACTGGAGTCACAGTGCTGGGCTTGTATCCTTGAAGAACACAACACAGGCTTATGTTCCTTTAGCTCTGGGAGAGGAAAAACATGTCCTGTCCTCCCCTTACTCTTTTTCCGTTTTTCAGATATTCACTGCAGATATTGTGTGAGTACTCACTGCAATCTATTATACATAAAACACCCACTATAGCGTCTCATAGTCCAGTGATTTATATATAACCATGGGGATAAATAAAAAAGGAGAAACGTGTCCTGGAGGGTCCGGTAGAGTTCATTGGATCGGGGTCTGGACCCCGTGATGAGGCGGCGTGTCCCCGTACACATCCTCGCTCCCTGGCAGAGCTCCGGGAGGGGTCATGCGTTTCTCCTTCTGTCTCCTGTTACAAAACCAAACCCTCACTACTTCTTTCTCCAGGTGCAGACTGTCCGCCAGGCCGATTATTTCCGACGCTGCCGGTTTAGGGCACTTCAAAAAATGACTCTCCAAAGCTCCCTTTACGCTTACCTCGATTGAAGTCCGTTTTTTTCTTTTTCTCCCTTGCGCCGCTATTTTGTCCAGGCTGGTCGGGCTGCCCGAGGTGGAGTCCGCCTCCTCCAACCACTTGTTCAACAGAGGCTTCAGCTTGCACATGTTTTTGAAGCTGAGCTGTAGGGCCTCAAACCTGCAAATGGTGGTTTGGGAAAATACGTTTCCGTACAGGGTCCCCAGGGCGAGTCCCACGTCCGCCTGCGTAAAGCCCAACTTGATCCTCCTCTGTTTGAACTGCTTCGCAAACTGCTCCAGGTCGTCCGAGGTCGGCGTATCCTCGTCCGAGTGGTCGTGGTGGCTCTGTGGCCGGTGCTGGTGCTGATGCTGGGACGGCGGGTGGCCGTGTTCGCTGAGGTGCGGGCTGTGGTGCTCGTCATGACTGTCTCTTAGGTTGTGGTGGTGCATCCCCTGCCCGCTGCCCGGGATCAGCCCGTTGACGCTGAAACCCGGCTGGGAGTAAATAAGGCTTTGGCCGTTCGTCGTCGCCATGCTCGGTATGTGCGCTGCGGTGGTGGTTCTCCACGCCCGGCCGTCGTGGTGGTTCCCATGCGTCTGGTGCACCAGGTGGGGTGGCCGAGACTGGTGCTGCAGGTTGCTGCTGGAGTTGTGCATCTCGTCCCGGGCGCCCTGCACCGCGGGTTTTATGTCCTGCTCCGTGCCAAGCGGGCTGGAGGACCACGGGGCTTCCCCTCCGTGGGACAGCGCGGTGATCCACTGGTGAGCGTGGCTGAGCGTATGGCTGTTGCTCTGCAGCGGATAGTCGCTCTGCAACAGGCTCTGCGCGTCCCGGTACGCCGTGGCTTGCTGCATGCTGCCGGGCTCCGAGTGCACGATGGATGCGCTGGAGGTGAGGATGCTGTAGTGATTAGACGCTGCGGTCGCCATGACTCTCGGAGCCGGACTGGTCGCTCTTATTAAAGGAACCTCGCATTTGACAGATCCTCTCCTGCCCACAGGCGGCTCCCAGGCGCTCTGCCAAGTGGACGCTGAGGCGCACCTGGACTCCGCCCCGCCCCTGCCGCTCATTGGATCTCGAAGGATGATGGACGTGGTTACCAAGGGCAACGGCGCGGCGATTGGCTGCGGAGAAGTCTCAACAAACACTACTCTCTTTGTTAGAGAGGTGCGAGTTGAGGCTCCCGTGGAAGCGGAGAGCCGGAGTGCAGCATGGGGAGACGGAGCACCGGGATCAGCAGTGCAACTGTAAGAGACAGTTGATTTACTTTGATTATCACCTTCTATCAAGACTCTGCCTGTAGGTAGTCTAGATCCAGGAGGAGAAGAGCTTCCTTTCAGACTCACACAAAACCTGTAATGTGGGATTTAATAGATCTGTATATTTTTTTTTCCCAGAGGTAGACTTTGAAGACAAATCCTGACTGTGAGTCTCTAGAAATGATATTAAATGTCGTTACAGAAATGTGTGGGTCACATATACTTGTGAATTAGGCGATGTGAACTTTTTCCACTGCAGCAAAAAAAATGTCTAAATGTTTCTAACAAACAGAAATTATTTGCATATTACAGAGAGGGCCTATTTGACGTGTTTATGAGTGTTGCACTGTTTCACCTTTATTGGCGTATAGACGTGAAATGTGTGCACAATAATGAGTCACGTATTTGTGCAGCAGAGTGTGTTTGGATAATTATATACTTGTACTTATTCAACACTAAATGAAAACGTTTATTATGCTAACCATTAGTTTTAAATAAAGATAACAGGGTACAAATATTTTATTCAAATTTGTGTAAAGATTTAAAACTAAAGAGACACCCAGAGAATAACTACAGAGAACACCTCCTATTGTTTACAGTGTATATGAGATATACAGCATGGCCTAGTGTGCGAATAATAAACAGCTCACCTTGTTTGTTTTTTGAATCAGAAATGTAAAGAAGGGAAAAGTTGAGACACATTTACTACAAATCTTTTTTTTTTCTCAAATCCATGATCTCTGTGATAAAATATGAATAAATTGGACTGAACAATAAATAAAGGAGCATTATTGGATCTCTTTTGTTGATCTTGAGGTTTTATCTTAAAGACATTTAGCTTAAATTGTAATATTTAGTCAAATTGAGATGTCTCAGTAAATAAAAACTGCATTGACTGCTACAGGTTCAGTGCTGTGATGTTTCTTGAGCTCAGAAGTTTTTAACAGCTGTTAATATAAATGTATTAATCCTGGAATATTCCCTATATTCCCCAGTACTGTAAAAGTGTAGTTTAACATATCGTGTAATCTTATCAAAAGTGTTTTTTTTTTGTATTTTAAAACATTGGATTTTATTTATAGGGTCCCAAAATGTTTAGTTTAGTAAATGTGTTTTTTTGAGTTTCATGTGCATGGTTGTTTGCAGCACGGTAAAGTATCTGTGAGGGATCATTGGAGCATGGTGCACCTCTGTAAAATCTTTCAGGATAGTAAGATAAAGAGTAAAAAGACATTCAGAAATGATTTCAGGTTTTAAATTCAAGTCTTTTAGGGTTAATAGTGTGTGAAAATCTTCTCTGGCAGCTCATCGTCCAGTAAAGTGAAGATACACACAAGTGAAGAGGAGGATTAAGTCCAGACTCAGGCCTCCAAACCAGGGCAGGGAGGGCAGGGTTCCATCCCGTCCCAGCTGTCGTCCCCCCGGTGTCAGCTTCAGGGACCAGGACTTTGTCCAGAGAGGGGACATTCCTGGCTGTCCGCTGCTGGTTGCCATAGGGAGAGGTAAATGAAACAACAGCAGTCTCGTCGCTGCTGCTCCCCCCTCTCTTTCCCCTGTTCCTGGGCTATCTAAAGGCCTCTATTTAGAGAGGCACTCTGCTGCGGGGACAAAGCCTTCGCAGGGATAAAGGAGGGAGGAGTAAAGAGCACAGGGCCCTGAGAGGGAGAAAGGGCCAGAAAACTGAGAAAGATGAGAGAGATTATGTCTGTCCTCAAAGCCACTCCTCACACTGCAGTGACATAAAGAAACAGTGTGAGAAAAACCAAAAATATGCCCGGCAGAAGTATTTTCCAACTCTCTAACTTCTCAAGCAGTGGCGTCATTTTGCATATTAAGAAGCATTAATATTCTAACTGTATATATGTAATTAAAAAGCAGTTTTGGTGGGTTTATGGCCATAACAATTCAATCCACCAGAAATAAAGTAATACACACTGGCCACAAATTAAACCTATAAATCAGTGAAGGCAGTTCTTCAATATCCACAATTTAGACCTTCCAAACTATGCAAATGACTGAAACTGTAATTAAACATTTTATTTAATAACTTGGACCTATCAGGAAAATTAAAAGGCAATAAAAAAGCAATTATCAAAGTAATCATTTTCACTAAAACATTCAAACTGTGCAGTAAAAGCTGAAAGTCTACATAGTGAATGTGCACACTCACAAATCATCTTCAGCAGTGTTAATTTATTCAAGAAGTTCACACAAGGACACATGTCATGTGTTTAGACGGAGGTCTGCGAACAATACAAGGGCAAGTAACAAAGGACAAGTGCTAATTACAGAACGCCGTCTAATCCCTGCTACATCTGACCTGGGTTACATTCGGATTTCTTTCACTGCTTTTGCTTGTTCTTTGACATTTCTTTTGACTCGCTTTAGCTGAAGTTGCAAAAAAAGACACAAAATGTTCAAACAAAAATGCAAAACTCCCTCTCCTGTCCTTTTAGCTCAGATAAATGTGAGACAGCAGTAAAAATTAGTTTGTCATATTTTCTAAAGTAGGTGGTCTGTTGACATAACCGACATGTGTAAACAGTTATATAAACAAGGCCTATGATGACGAGCGTGGAAGAACAAAACGCTCATAGTCCATGTATAACTCAAGCTCCTCAATTAAGCATTACTGATTGGGCCTTTAATGGATCTCATTTCATAGGCTAATAATCCTTTATGGATGAGAATCCAGCTGCACTGATAGCACATGAAGCCGCCAGGATTTAAGTCATACAAGGAAAGTTTCCAGGCACGGCTCAGTAATTCATTCTGGTAATATTGAACATTATTGTGGCGTAACATTGAAATCGGCCAAATCAAAAGAACATTGTGGTAATTAGGCTGTAATTCAAGGAATTACCACATCGCCACACAAGCTTAAATAGTCGTGTTGGGAGAAACGCAAAGCACATTATTTTAATGGTGTAATATGCAAACTATGGCTCGTTTCAATTACATGGCTTAACAATGCATAAATGATGCGAGCCTTGTTATTTGGACTGCAGGGTCCTCAGTTATTCAATCACTCAGAGGGGCCAGTGCGAGGGGCCATGCTGCTTCCTCTTACACAGTAAAAACATGGAGCCGGGCACCAAGGGCCGCTGCCAAACTACATTTAAGGGAATAAAAATGAACAGCAGAGAATGTAAGCGTTAAATTAACAGTAGGATAATTATATGACCCGTGTGCTGTAAAGATTCAATTTCTAACGCTCTAATTAGGCGACTGTCTCCCCATACATCAGCTCACATCCCTCTGCCAATTTCTCAGCAGAAAGCGTCCTGTGAGCGGAAATAATTAGTTTTATTAAGACACGGCTGGTGTAATAAAGAAAATCAGGGGAGGGGCTGGTTAAATATGATATGTTTTCAGAAACATTGATTGTTCCACACAGTCCACTGAGCCTCCTTTAAAGACTAGAATAGCTGAGTCCAAACTATAAGGAGAGAAGCAGGGACCTTTCCTCTATGTCTGACTGTGTCTAATAAAGGATAATGTTCACGTTTAGTTGCTTTTATAAGGACGCTTTACAACAACAAACAACCTCCTGATTGAAAGTAGGCTGCAGCCAATAAATGCCGTCTTAATCCAACTAGAGAAGCTCCCCGAGAATCAGAGGTGAAACATTTTACATCTCTCTTTTTATGATCGTGCTTCGCTCAATGTTTTGAGTCTTCCTTTGCAAAGTGTTGGCAGAGTTTGACTGTTGAATGTGGTTCTGCTGGAGAGGAAAGTTGTTCTGTGCTCACACTAAATCTCATTTCACACTGACATGTGCAAACAGGATGTTTTGAACAGCACAGATAGTTTTGAACTCTTTTGGGCAGAATGCAGCGTACACAGGTGCAGGAATAAATGTCCGGTGTCCTTACATTGTAGACTATCAGGGGGGTTATAAAACAGAGCTGCATATTCATGGATTTCTGCGGTTTTCAGGGAAGATTAAATGACATGATTTTCTTAAGCAAAACCATAAGGGATGGATGTTGTTATACTGCAGTACGTCTGGATGGGATCTTTAAACTGTGTTTAACTGCCTGCAGTGAACCCGTTTATGATCAAATAAGTAAAGAAGGACATTTGTATTTTTTTTTTAGCTTTATTTATTGAATGTTTGCATCTTTAGCCATAAAAAATGACCTTAACAGGGAAACAATGAGTCAAATTTAGCTGTATGTCTCAGATCAGACTCGATAGAAATGAAATGAAATATTTGCATGCATGTTTTAACTGGTGCATGATCACCTGGATATAAAAACATTTTTATATCCTAACTTAAACTGAGCCTCATATATCTGCAGAAGGAGTGAATCCCTTTCCACATAGGCTGCCATCTTGAACTGCCATGTTTTTTTTAATCATACCTACACTACACGCCGTATGTGTTTTTGTATCCTGTGAAAAATGCACAGGTTGGAGGTCGAAGGACATAGGGGGCTGGTAGCTGTGCACAAAGGACTTTATAGACAGATTGATGTGGACGGACGTTGTTTTACTGGTGAAAGCTTTTCAAATAGAGCCTCATACTTGTTATGCATCACAGGACCTTCTTGGCATCGAAGGCCAAACAGCTCAGCCCTTACTAGAGGGGTGAGCGAGGTAACGTTTCAATCCTAAATCCGGCTGCTAACAAGTTGCACACACACTGTACCTTTAAGACTAATGCT